AGAGAGAGAGAGAGAGAGAGAGAGAGAGAGAGACACAGAGAGAGACAGAGAGAGAGTTTTAGTTTTAGTAAGAGTTTAACGGCACTTGCAACACAATAAGGTCATATAAGTGCCGACGAATAGATTAGATTACGTGTTACAAGAGAGTAACATACACAAAATAAGAAGACTCTAGCATAGAGATCATCAGGAGAGAATGCGTCGCTGTTTCGGGCTCTTCCTCTCTACAGCTTTTCTGACGCACCGAGCCCCCTCACCGATGTGAGGTCTCCATGTTAGTCCGACTGTTTTCCTCTGCTGCCAACTCTTAGGATTCCTTTCAGCCTGCGTCATCTCGTTTCAACCAGATCCAGTGACTGGCCTTCTCTACTGTCTCCCGAAGGGAGTTTATGAGTTCGTTACTTTTCTTTGCAGTAAGTCCTGCCGTTCTCATCCACGCTCGGACGCTAGTTGTTGCGAAACCTCTGCATCTAACCTCACCCGGAAAGTGGGTTGCTTTCCAACCTGCTTCCTCACATTTTTCGACAAGTGCCTCGTACCGGTAGTCTCAAGTCTTTCAGCAGGGACACCGTATCCCACTCAGCCCTAGTTGGCCCTACAGTCAGGGTTCCCACTAAGCCCTAGTTGGCCCTACAGTCAGGGTTCCCACTCAGCCCTAGTTGGCCCTACAGTCAGGGTCGAAGCCCGTCCCCCAAATGATCTCAATTGTTTCGATGGAGGTGAAAAAAACCCATAATGAAATTGGGTGGACACACGTTCTGGGTAAATGGTTAGCTCAAAACAAACATGGCAACGAACGCTTTCACTCTATGAAAGTACAATCAAACTCTGAGTGCTCAGAGTGCATTTCTGCGTCTGATTGAGCCTGGAAGATAAGAACTTGCCGTGAGTTTTTCGAAAGAACGAGAAACAATAAATTATGGTCGCTTTAAGGCACAAGCAGGCTATCACGAAAAATGCTGTTTTGAGAAAATCGAAGATAAGGTAAAGTTTTTGCCCCTTGTTCAGTTTCTTTAAACGACAAGGGGAGTTTTCTCTATAACCAAACAAATATACACAACGATGAAACGAAACTTCTCCTATAGGAAGGGCAATGCCCACTTTCGGTGCAGATCAAGATTTTGTGGAGCCCCCCGAAATCTGGGTTAGCCCGCTTGGCTTTAAAAGTGACCAAATAATGTTGTCGAAGGGAGACGACTAAGAATATTACATACAACTTGCGTCGTTCTCTCCCCATACATTAGTCGGTTATCTCGTGTCTAACAACTGATCACACTGGAACCCAAGTGCGAGAAAACAAAGGAAGATTAACTGAGTTTTTTCTTTCTTTCTGGCTCTTCCCTTTCTTTCATTTTTTTCTACTATATTCTCAAATTTCGTACAATTCAGCTTATAGAGCTCAGGGTTATCTCTTAATATTACGCCTCTCTTTCCGAATCTCACCTCTCCTCACCCTACCCTTTACCCGCCCCCCCCTTCCCCCATGCACGTGGGATGATGATGATAAGGATGATGGTGAAGTTGATGACGACGATGATGATTATGCTGCTGCTGCTGCTGCTGCTGCTGATGATGATGATGATTTTTTTTTGGTTCCCTCAATGGGCCTGACGGACTTCATGAAGAAATCTTCGAGCGAGAGCGAGGCTCTTTTTCGGCTCCATTGTCAATATGCTTAGCGGCACCTCCACTCGTCCAAATAACTCCATTCGAATTGCCATTGTTTCTGGACATTCAAACATATGTTTGACATCCTCCTTTTCACGGCCGCATCTTCGGCAACA